AGACGAGGCTGAGAGGACATGATAAGTGCTTGGCTAACATTTCTGTAGGATTGTTGGCCCATTACAAATCCACTTTGATTTTTTAAGACTTGGAGGTAGGAACACTCTTAATTTCCAGCATATTAACATTTATATAGTGTTTTAACTTGATGTCTCCAGGAAACCTAATGCCAAACAAACTCCTTTTATTTTTACTTGTGCTATGGTTTAAGTCAGGAGTGGGAAACTTCAGGCCCAGATGTCATCCGCCGCGTGCCTGGATCCAACCCCCAAGGCTCAAGGCCACTCCTGCATTGGGAAGCCTGTGCTGACACTCCAGACCTTCTGCTGCCCCACCATGAGGCTGGCGCACACAAAATGTATGAGGCTGGGCCCCCAGGCGCTGGTACGCGAGGGGAATGTGAGGGGTGTCTTTCTCTCCTCAGTTTGGCACCAAGTCAATTAGGGGGTTTTGTGTGCAGTGCTCAACTGACTTTTCTGTGGATCAGTGGCCCCCGACAAATAAATTCCCCACTCCTGATTTCAGGTAGAAACAGTTTACCTTAAAGAGTAAAAGGAGTTTAATGTCATCTTTGACAATACAAATTTAAAAAAAACAATTAGAATATTGTTTCTATTCATCTATTGTTTCTATTCATCTAAAAAAACCCTTGTATTTTTCATCACAGACCTTCAAGAACTCAACTTCTTAAAATGGTATTTCTTAATGAAAATGAACAGAGCCTCTGAAGCAGACTCTGAGCATGTTAAGCACACAATGAGCATGAGAGGATGTTGCACACAGCATGAAAATTATTTCTAGCGCAGAGAAATTCTATACTAAAGAAAAGCATTTCTCTCATTTTCAACAAACAATGGATGTGTTACCAAAACTCTTTCATCATTTTTTGAGTGGGCAGGTATAGTTTTTGCGCACGCGCGCGCATGTGTATGCGCGTGTGTGCGTATAACTGTCAATTTAAAAATCAAACAGACAACCGACAATAAGTAATGAGACTGGAGCCGACTGCAATTACTACACAGTCAATTTTGGAACTTAGCTACATTCTAGTCATCCACCTTTAGTTGCTTCAGAAATTTTCCCTGTGGTCTCAGCACAAGTATGAACTTTCAGGAACATTTGTTTAGCTGTCTGTTGTATGAATATTTGTTTGTGTGGAAGAAAAATGACAGATATACTCATATTTCCTTGTATAACTAAAATGTGGTTGAGTCCTCAGAAGTGGCTTGCTTTGATGATCTCATTATTTTAAATTGAATTAAATAAAATTGACTGCCTTTTTAATATGTTAAGATAATTAAAAATTGGTAATTAAAAGATGGGAGAGATGGGTCTTTGTAACACAGTGAGTTCTGTTTAGAACAGTATGTGCTCATAGAACTGAATGGTAAGGAACTGGCAGATATTCTAGAAGAAGAGCAACCCAAAAATTGTCTTTTGTTCAAGTAAATGAATGCAAGGGTCCAAAAATACTGCTTTTAACACAGCATTAAGGTTAAGGAATCTAACAATCTAAAGTCAGCATTACCAAAGGTTAACTCTGATGGATTGTTATAAAAAAAAATAGAGGCATGAGGTATATTTGTCATGGAACCTGGCTAACAAAGCAAAGCAAACCTTAATTTTTGGAATTTTCTGTCCTGAGTTCTTGATTTCTCATCTTGAGTGTTTCATTAGCATTAGTAGTTTGCAATTAGTAGCCCAAAATTTGCAAAATTTCTTATTAATTAACCAGAATGCCAATCATATTATTGACTCTACATGAATAATTTGCCTCTTCCTTCCAAGCACTTTCAATACTGGTTAGTTCCCCACCATACACTAGAAAAAGCTGTTAAAATTCGCTTCTTTTTAACAAGATCATGAAAGTGCCCAGTGTAAGACAATGAATTACTGAACTCCAAATTTTTTTCAGTTGGATAATACCACATCTGAGATACATGCCTTTTCTCTCCCATAAACCAGATCGTTTCTCCATCTGAAAAATGTAACAAATATTTCCTTCTCCCTTTAAAAGTGAGAGTGTACTTGACTTTTTCTGGAGATCTTGCTGGTCTCAGCATCAAAGAATTCATACTGACACTGCTCCAAGAAAGGAGAAAATCACGTTGTCTAAATTAAATAGGACAATTTAAAGGGCTGACAAAAGGAATAAGGAAGGTAGTCAGGGCATTTTAAAGCAGTATGTGCTCTGTTAAATACTGAACAAATGCATCGTGTACAGGAATGTTTTTCATTAATTCATTTTTCCCCCTTAGGTGTATGTCAATTTTTTAAAAACTAATGTGCCATGCAAAACAACACCTTCTGATGTATAGGTACTTGAAAAGAAATGTGCAGATAGAGAGTCCATGTGGAATAGCTTGTCCAACATCAAACCACACACAGCTTGTCATTTCAACTGTAATAAGAACAGTTTGGAGATCAGTGACAGAAAGGTATTCAGATTTGCCAGCCTTTTCTTTCCTTGGTTGAGAACCAAGGTTTTTTGCTGTGTGAAGGGAGAAAAGAGAAAAAGGAGAAGATGGGCCTTGAGGCTCGGACCACTCCAAATGGCACTGGGATCAAGTTTCTTTAGCAAGAATGAAGATTCTTTTTCTTAGCACACAGTGATAAAAATGTAAGAACAGCCATACTGGGTCAGACCAAAGATCCATCTAGCCCAGTACCCTGTCTTCTGACAGTGGCCAATACCAGATGTCTGAGTGGGAGGGAGCACAAAAGGTAATCTCACGCGATCCTTTCCCCCCTGTCTACTAAATGAGTTACAATGAATACAATGATATAAGTTAATATGAAAAAGGCCTTTTGTAGGTTTTTAACCAGGCTCATGATACTACTTAAACGTGAGGCTGTGAATAGGAATAATTACAACTGTCATTTCTGAATCCTATACTAAACTTCTTCGTGGAGGCCATGCGGCTTTTCTATTCTTCATAGCATTAAGGAGGCAAAAAGAGATATCTTTAAGGCATGCTTGTGGACAAACTATAATATGAGTACCAAAAACCTTGACATTTTGTTTTGACAAATGTATTTTGCAATTCTGAAAGCACACATTTAACTAGGGAGATGAGTATAAACAGGTGAGGATTTCCAAAATTGCTTAAGCAAGCTAGGCATCCAACACACATTGAGCATCAAAGGAAGCTGGATGACTGGCAACTCTGAAAATTCCACCACAGAAAGAACAGAAATAGAAGAGGTGGTATCCACAAGAGAATTAAGTTCATACAGCATTTTAGCTTCAACTTGAAATTTTCTTACCAGGAGGACTTAAAGTATCTCTCGCACACAAAAATACATAAGACTACAAAAAGAAAGAAACATTTTCTCTTCAGTAGACTCTCCAGTATGCTACTCTTCACTTTTACATAA